CTTATTAATCACAATACGATGAATGATATAGGTGATTAAAATCTTAGTATAGTTTGTAAGTTTATCGAATAATCTCAGAGTTTACAATGGAAAGAGGAATACATTACTAAAGAATAGACATTTATAGCCATGTGATAAACACTTTAGTTGAAAGAATAAGAACTTGAAATATACACTGTGACTAACTATCCTAAATGGATTATACATCCTACCATACTTCTACTTCTTAATACGCCTACTTTGATAAACTAGACTGAAATAAAACAGCTGATATATATATATATATATATATATATATATGTTAAGAATATGACAGGTTTATGATAAGGATCAGTCAATCATCAATGGTAATCATTAAGGTATAAAACATAATAATATGATCGATCACCAAGAAATAAAGATGTAGACAATTTTCTTGGTGATGGGTAACAGCTGAATCAAGAATGTGCCCTTCGTCCTATTTGGGACTCGTCAGCCGGATGTACCAGCATCTTAGTGAGTGGTATTGTCTCCACTGAGACTCAGACCCACTGCCCATCGCTTCAAATGCCAGAGTATTATCCCTCAGGCCACTGGGGCATGACAGCTACCTGTTCTACAAAAGATATTAGTTATCATTATTTATTGACACTTGTAATTTTGCGCTGTCATTCTAGATGGAACTGATCAACCTCTGTCTATATATATACTCCTGTACGGATGTCTTGACGTTGCCTGTTTATTCATTTTGCGTCCATTTGCCTAGTATTTTGTTAGCAAGGAACTCCAAGTGACTGTCGTACCCCAGTTGCCTAGTGGATAACACTGCCGTTTCAAGAGATGGAACTGGGTTCGATTCTCAGCGGAGACAATATGACTCACTGGGATGCAGGTGCATCCAGTTGACAAGTCCCAAATAGGATGAAAAGTGCATCCTTGATTCAATTTCTAGCTACCATCAAGCAAATTCTAGCATACTTAACAATCAGGCAAAATAGAGGTACCCATATAGGAGTTCATATTGCCAACAGACGTCGACTAATTCGGTATAGAGTAACAACGTGAAATTACAAGTATCAATAAGTAATAAAGTTATATACAGTTGAATACAAAACTATTCATTGAAGTTCGTGAACATCTAATCATTGTCCAACATGGAAAGTTAATTTTTTAGATATCAGACTATTTTATGAATTTATGCAATACTCAACTCATTCTATTAATTTTCTTCATTCTGTATGTAAAAATTAATTGATGAAAGATGTTAACTTTGTAAATAAAAAGGAATTTATCCCTAGATTGATTACGAAACCAGTAACCAAGAGGTTATTAGTTAGATATGGCTCAATGTTATCTCATGCTTCATTATATTCTCATTTAAACAGATAATTGAAACATTTCCTCCAAGAAAATACATAATACCAGTGTTCGTTGAACATGAATTTATTTGTGTTACATCCTGTGATGTAACGTTGAATGTAAAAGTGTAGTCAAATTCAACGGAGAGCTATAATATCGGAAAGGAAGGAGTTCATCTAAGGTATAAAGTAGTAAGAATGAGTTGTAACGACTACAAGCTGGTAGATCTTCGTTTAACCTGTATGTACGTTGTTTCAGGCAGGGGTGCTCAGAAGACTGAATTAGTTTGACAATAGCAGCTCATTAAGCCAGCAAAAGAATCTAAAATGAAAAAGAAAAACAGAAAAACAAAAACAGGAAACTCAGCAAGTACGAGGGATGCACTTGCACTTAATAGTAGAAGACAAGTGATAAATGATAGTCTGGTGTCACACACTGATTGGCTGTTTGTGACACTCTACTAGTTTACATACTGTTCCTATTAAAAAAGTGTAGTTGGCTAGAGGATAACCAGGTGTGTGTACTACATGCTTAAAAACTCTTGAGCTGTCGTAGTTTCTCAGGTGAACCTATTGATTTACTCATTTTCTCAAGTACTTCATGCATAAATATCCCATTGGTAGTTTTGTTGTTCTATCATGCTCAGTCTGTTTCTAAGTCATACTGCTATGCATTATACCCTTCCTTTGATAGGTTTATTGACTTATTTCTTATGCCATAGGCAGAGTAACTTGAAATAAAAAAAACCCAAGTATTTTGTGTTTAAATCGACATTCTTTCACTGGTGATCCCGTAAAATTTGGTGCGACTTCCTAGGTAATCGAAGTGGCCAACTATTTGCTCCATAACGGAAAACAAGACATGGACAAAGAGAAGTCCTGAAGAGCAATAGAGCTGAAACATGAAGACTGGTTCTACGGGTGAAGATGCTTATATAAGTCACTGGAGTGCAGGTAAGTTCAACTGACTATTTCGTAATAGGACGAAATACCCGTCCTCGATTCCACTGATAATCATGAAGATGAATCCTCATGAAACGCTGTATTTCGTTACTATCTTCGTACAGAAGTGTCGTATACATACTGCTTACCCATTGAAGAATATTTTTATGAACAGTATCAATTCCTGGAAAATTAGAGGAAGTTAACATAGATCCTAGCATCACATATCTGACAAATATGATACGATATCAATAGAACAGATAATTTCGATACACTGAGTACCTACCGATTGGAAGAAGGGTTACCTTGTCAAACTAACAAAGAAAGGGGACCTATGTCTTTGCAAGAACTGCCACTCAACCATGCTACCTCCATCTCCACACAGAACAAACAAAACATTAAGCTGCATCATCCTAAAAACACAACACAATGCTCTCGATTCAACTAGATTACGACCGAAATAGGCTGGATGTCTAGCCGGCTGACTGTCTTCAGGAAGAACAAATCATTTTCGGATCAATTTGCAACGCTACCCTACACATCATCATCATCATCATCACCAACATACAACAGAGCACAGAATGCCATTCAGTTCTACTCTACCTCAAATTCATCGATTCTGAATAGACACTCGACAGCGTTGAACGATAACTAATTTGGCAGACTGCTGCTTCAACACTACGGTTTCAGTGCAACAAACCATTACCAAACTCACTCAACAGCTATACGCCATGCTATATGATGATACATGTGAAGTGAATCACAATGGAAAGTTCAGCTCAGTGATGCGTTTGAAGTGGAGATAGGAGTAAGACAAGGTTGCCACCAACTATCACCGATCACCTTCCTGATTGTGGTTGACTGGATTGGACTGGACTCGACTGGACTGGACTGGATCATGCAACACACTGTGAGGAGCGAGAAGATGACCATATGCTGACTGAACGATGGAAATAGGCCAGAAGAAGACTTGGATTTCGCTGACGACGATGATTCATGTCTAATGTTTTGTTGAAAAGACTGCATAGAAGAGAGTGAAATGGTGACGTGCTGCTGAAGTCGTATGTTCCACTAGGAACCCAAAGTACAAATAATAATAATAATAACAATAAAATTCTTTATACATTCACGGTTGCTTCCAAGTTAGCAGTATGTATTTTCTTTGAAGAAAATCCTTGAACTTCTTCATGTTGCTTGAACAGATCGCTAAGAATTTTCCAAAGGTTTAGAATGTAGACATTTGGATATAATACCATCATGTAGGCAATGTAACTTAAAAATTTGATAGTCGTACCAATTACATTTAGTCTCTGATATCTTAATGTGATTAGGAATGATTCTATTTGACTTAAGGATCAAAATTTGACTTGACAGAGTTGAATAAATTGAGTATTGAGTAGTAAATTATAAAGTAAATATATTTGTAAGACCCCAAGGAGGTAAAGAAATAATAAATTTCTGATGTTTCGTGACCTCAAGGAATTCGCTTCTTCAGTGAATAAAATCTGTACAAGTTATTCAATGTCTAAGCAGAAAACAGAGACAAATCTGATCACCTTGTTTATGCATGAAAGCTAGTACTTAGCATTTTGATAATACTAAGTTTTCCTTCATCTTATCTCATGATAGTCCTAGAAATGGACTAGCCTATTGACCAAGACTTTCAAAGATAGTCCTATTCTTAACAATCAAACTGCCTTGATTGGTTACTAGGGAGCAACGAATCTCGTGTTATATTTTGGGATATGTCCATGTATCCACCTATGTTATCCAGTCCTACAGGAGATCAGTTGTGGTTCAAATAGCTCAGTAGTAAAGTCACTGATCACAACACTGAGTGACACAGGTTTGGATCTCACACTAGGTTTTCGTTCTCTTGGGGGTTACAGATACATCTTGCTAACGAGTACCAACATGGATGAAACCTGTATCAGTCAGGTCTTTCTGTTAATTGCCTTCAACCAACTTACATCTGTCAGATGGTGTTTGAAAATTTCTCTAGAACCTTAAAGGAAACTAAAATTCCTTAATCATCTTTTTTTTTTGATTTTACGTGATCATCATTCTGAACATATTTCAAATTGGATAACCGACAGATGGTGGTGTATATGAAACAATAGCGTGACTTCATCACTTTTTCTTTACATAACTTGTCTATCCATCTACATATATATATATATATATATATATATATATATATGCGTTGTTTTCGTTATTGTTATTGGTAAAGTTCCACAATTCTAGAGGCCATGTCTAACAGTCATGATTTATGAAGTTTTTATGAAAGTAGAAAGCCAATTTATTAATACACGCACATAGAAAGATATTTCCATTGATGACAATAAATATAAGATGGGTTGCATTAGATTTCTCGTTCACACGATATATGCACACACACACACACACACACACACTATGAAACATACTTGGAGTTTGTGCATGTTTAACTCGTCTGTTCTCTCTTATGATGAGAGTATATACCAGAAAATATAAGAAAACTTTTGAAATAACTATGAATAACTTTCAGAAGTTAGAAGCTGCTCTTTCTCGTCAGCAACCTCAAGGTGACTGTTGTCTCCTCTAAGCTTCAAATTCATACCATCCAGCTGCGCTGTCACTGAGCGATTCCAGCAGTGATTGACCTCATGAATGGTGATCGAATTCTGTCAGTCATCTTGAAATCTGGTCTTCTGTCTAGAAAATTCAGCATTATTCTCCAATTTTGGTTGGTGGTGGTTTGCTGAAGACAACCACCTATAAGTTGTGCTTGACATACGTTTCGCATTTGGTGATACTCTTCATTAAGACCCATTTGCAACTTCAACAGAGATAATACCCCCTCACAGATTCGAATCTTCGTCAGTGTCGCATCACACAAAGCACATTCAATGATATAGGAAAACATATAGAGTAGGCTGCATCCAAGATCTCTTTACTGTTATTTTTTTGAAATAGTTTTTGATAAGCCTCGATTCATAACGTGATTCCTTTTACAAGGTATCTTAGAAGCTGATCATGGAGGCTGGTGTACGATTGTATTAGTTTAGTATTCCGCATTGTAGTGAATTAGTCCAATTCATTAAATTTATAAGGAAAACCAATAAAAAAAAGGCTACTAGCCTCATTTTCAGTTTTCTGTCTGTGTAAACCATCTTTGAATGCGATTGGTCAGATACTATCTGAATTTAGGGTTTGTGGGGATTTAATGATTTGGCACTCATCATGGACTGACCTCATTTGGAGGGATATTGGAAACCTGAGAGCACTAAACAGCTGTTTCGTCCTATTATTCAACTCGTCAGCAGTGCGCATCTATGACTTCGCACCCAGGAGACCGAACCAAAGATCTTCTAGTTCCGTGGTCAGCACGTTACCATTGAGTCACTGGATCACAGTCCAGCAGTCCATATTTCCAACTTCTGTCAGTTCACGAAATAGCTCGACCATCACCCAATGTCACCTTTGAACATTTGTCCTCACGGCCACCAGGTTCGCTCCACTGGTCACGACTCCCCATTGGTAACGGGCTGGCTGTGGAACCTGAAGGTCCTGGGTTTGATCCCTGGTGGGGTCATGGATGCGCACTGCTAAGTAGTCTCACAGGAGGACGACACAGCTGTTCAATGCTCTCAGGCTTATAATATTCCTCCAGTTGATGTCAGTCTATTATGAATACCAACTAGATAGTATCTGCCCAACTATTGAGACTATCAGGATATTTCAAAGTGGAAAATATGGTTTGAATAAAAACAGTAACAATTTTGTTTTATCTACAAAGTTAATTCTTACCTATTGAGCTTCCTTTCACACTTACATCAGTGATATACGTCTAAGTATATTGAAAGTTTGCTACTGACCAAAAGTGCACGCTCACTTCATAGCTTGAAGATGTGCAAAGATTTTGGTGATGAATTTGCATAGCACTATGATGATGTAACTTATTTCGTTGTAATCTGTTTCTATTCAAACTTATGATTTAGTCAGTGGGAGAATGACTTAAAAACTTAGCGCTTCTTCAGCAACTTCCTACATCATGAAAAGGACGTTTAAAACGAACCACTGTCAAAATATTTATGATGATGCTTTCATTCTTTGCAATAACCTGAAGTATGACTCATATGTCCTTGGTCTGCTTCATTAAGTACACCAAAGCATAGAATTTCAATGGAATATGAACAGAATGATAAGTTTCGTTTCTTTTATCTCGAAATTCAACGAACTATAAATGATAATATACTAAGACCTATCCATCGTAAAAATTCTTAGAGTGGAGGGTATCTTAACTTCACTAGCTTGTGTCCCATGAATCATCAGACGTCTTTGTTCAAAAATGAAACTGGAGAAGTAAATGAATATTGTTGAAAATTGCCTCCGTGATAATGGATATCCATGGAAATTCATCAGTAAAACACAAGAATGTACCAACTCAAACAGTAAAATGTGATACAGTTGAGAAGTTTGTTTTCCAAAATCTTAGTTTTAAAGGTGATGATGTTTCCAGCAGAATTAATTACAAAATAAATATTACCTTAATAAGGACTCATCCAGCTGCTTGGTTAATTGAAACTCTACCGAACGGATTGTTCACTGAGACAATCAGAGGTTGACAAGTTCCCTTTTCATGTTACTTCCAACTGCATACACCAATTCACAAGTACGCGCCAAAACACATACACTAGACGAACAGAAAGAAGGAGTTTTTGACCACAAATCTGAGGAAATTCCAAGGAATCTGAAACAGACATGGAAGCATTTTCAACAGAGCTATTGCTCAAAACCTGATCGAAAGTAGAGATGAAGTCAATGTTCAGAAATCGTTTAAAATGAAACGATGATCCTTTAATCTACAAAGCTTATTTCGAAGTGAGTTTGTAGGTTTAAATACTACTCTAATACCAGCCGACATTATTAAGAATCCCACCTAATGTCATAACTGGAGACTAGTTTGAGTCACTACGTAGGATTCTCAATAATGTTGGCTGGTATTAGAGTAGTATTTAAACCTACAAACTCACTTCGAAATAAGCTTTGTAGGTTAAAGGATCCTACTTCTCCAATTATGCAGGATAACTTAGTTTACGGAATCCTTTAATAATGATTGCGAGGTTGTGAAATACATAGGTGAAAGTGGTCCACCAGGGTCGGTTAATTAGGCTATCACAATACAAAGACGTAGCTAGGTTAGAATTGGTACATCCTAGGCCGTAGTTATGCCCACAAT